TCATTAAAAAATTAATCTATAGATAAACAAACACTTCTTTTAATTGGAAAAAATTGGGACTGTGTTGTAACAATTTTATTTTGTTTCGACTCTTTTAAATTTATTATTATTTTTTTAATAAAAGTATCTGTTAATTTCTAATTTAAAATGTTTAAATCTAAATTGGTATTTTTAGGAATAAATTTGTTGATTTCAGTGGGATGTCTCTTGGAAAATTACATTGACCAAATTAGCTTAGTCAAATATTAGGAGGCATTTGCGTTCTCTAGACCTACTATTGTTAGAATTGCAAATGAGTCATCTTTTCAAAAACTAAATAAAATAAAAAGTAGGTTGTTTTATAATTATTATTTTGAAGTAGGTTTTGGATGGAAGAGAGATAAATGAAAAGATAAAATTAAGGATACGTGGGATATCATGCCACCACTAATTGTCATCCTAATATTTGTGGGATTTATTAGAAAATATATAATTAACTTGATAATAAAGTTAATGTGTGTTGACCTTTATTATAGTCACTATTTATATTTAGAAAAAAAAAACATAAATTCTTGTTCTAGATTGACAGCCAAATATATAACATTTAGCCTAACTCAACTAATTAAGACATGTATTTATGACCAAAAAGTCATATATTCGAACTTTCATAATATTATAATACTAAAGAAGATATCGAATTGAGCTTCAATTCGTCGTAGCATTACTAATTAATTAGAAGTTCAAATTTTTATTTAATATTTAAATCGTATTACTTATAAAAATAATGGTAGAGAGATATTGATGATAGGTAATAAAATAGAATGGGGTGTACGTGTACATGAATATAAATATTATGTAGAGATGAGAAGGAGAGTATTAATGCATGGATTAAGGGAATGTTGTCTGAGGTATCATGGGGAGGAATCCATGCCGAAATCACGTGACCGGCCGTAATGGGACAGTAGACCTTCCACTAACCACAGTACCACTTAACATGGAATCCGACAGGGACAAACGGGACATTGGTAAATTGTGCCGAAATCCGCTCTCTCCCCAAATTGTTGGGATTCTCTTAACCAATTCATCTGTTTAGGTTACCTAGTTGGGATTCTTTTCTGTGGGTATATATATTATTGCATCTTCTTTTAACATTCGTGGGTTGGATTTGGATTTGGATATGGGAATTAGAATTAGAATTAGAATAGGAATATTTGAACTTTATTTCCAGCTTGTTTTAAGAATCATCAATAGGGTGGTAATCTCTCGAAATAGAATTGGTATGAGCGAGAACTCGATGATAGATGTGAGTGAATCATATGGTCCCACATGACAGCACTCCTAACAATAGCAATAGAGGACACGCTGGTAGGTGGTAGAAACGGTATCACGCGCCCACAATATGCCCTGATGGCCTGTCAGAGAACGTACAACAGAGGGTCCCATCTACGAGGTAAGTTCATACAAACCACTACACAAAACACACTAAAGCTCTTTACATTTTCCTCTCTCTCTCAATCTCTAACTTGAGCGTGTGAAGACAGCTCACTAAAGTCTAAATGACGTGATTTACCCTTGTGGTGTTATTAAATTAGTCTTCCTGATAATTTGTTATTAGTTTCATTAATATGTAATTGTTTTTTCAATTCTTTTTGTTCAGGAGTTTTTATGCCTATTAATATATAAGGCTTCTCTATAAAATGATGAATGAGAAGATGAACGACTTTTCTCCTGAAATTAGGGTTTTATCTGAGTGTCATATAATATTTGGCAGGGTACTCGATATCGATATAATATTTGGCAGGGTACTCCACCGATGTTGAGGTCCGTTCTTGCATAAAAACTTCGCCCAACGACTATTGCATGGACACATCAGCAAACCAAATTTCAACATCAACCAGAATTACTAAATATCAAAATATAATATATAAAATATTTTGAAGGAAGGAAAAAAAACTTGTTGGGTTGGGTTGGTGCAGGAAGTAATGATTTATGAAGTGTCCAAAAGCATGAGGGGGAAAAATTGGAGGAAATGGAATGAGGGGCGTGAGTCGTGTGGGACAAGCAATATAAAAACCTCCCGTCTTAAACATGCGAGGAATTGGGATGTCGTATGTATATTGCATTGCAATCGCTCGCCACGCGCTACGCTCCACCACTGTTGTGCTGGACCATTTTACTTTTTCCTTCTCCCTTTTTCTTTTGTTTCTCTATTTTTACTTAATAAATTCATGCGTTAGATTTATTTTTTATGCCTCAATTTTAATAATTATCTATAATTCTACTCGTTTCTTTTTAAATGTTACATTAGAGATAGATTATTAAACATATAACTTTTTAGAGAATGCAGTAAAAGTGTCTTAAGTATTAAAGTATACTTGGGTTGACAATTTTACTAACACGTGTACGTGTTTATAACTTCGAAAATTCATCTGTTTAGACATCTACTCGTTAAATAAATGAATAAAAGAATAGCTTCGTGAGAATATTCTTTCAAATAGATAAATTCTTTTTATCTAAGTATAATATATTCCTAATATTAAGCCATAATTTTCTTTCTTTTTTCTTTTTATATAATGATATGATATTGTCCATGAATTTACTTTTTTTTTTAAAGAAAAAAAAAACTTTAGAGTGGAAATGTTACTCACTCTTATTTTATATATTTAAAAATGTTCCCACATTAATGTAATTATGTTTCTTTTTTGAATTATTACAAGAAATATAGAATGAGGATTTAAATCTACCATTATTTGGGAGATTGTGTTTTTAGGTTATACATGTTTTTGTATAAAAAAAAACTACAATATTCCACTAGAATGCCACGTCGACAAGATTACCAATAAAACTACTTATTCCTATATATTAAAAGGAATCTCCGATGAAATGGCTATGGCCATGGCCCATGGCCGTCTCTTTAAAGTCAACGTTACGACTCTTTTCAGTGGGATTAAAATGAACACTAGAATTTGCTCTCTCGTTGCTGTCTTTTCATTTCCAAATTAATTCATTAATTTGAGCTATACTATATACTATACGTTGAAATTAGACATATACTATAATTTTAATATACTCCTCTCCCTTTTGTACTATTAAAAAAAATACAACTATAATATTGGAAACATATTTTCTTTCTCTAATTTAGCTTTTGAGTATATTAAATGAAGGTTAAAAAACACATTTGGTTCATATACTTTTAAATTAGTAATAATTTATTCCATGAATTTTAATTTATATAATGTATATTAGTCCTTGTAGTTTCCATTTTGTAACAACTTAATTAGCTAGTATCTACTGTGAAAAATCTTATCAAAGTTAAAAGTATTGATTTTTATCGTATAATGATTTATTTTTTGTAATTTATATTTATATTTGGTCGCTCATTGGTTTTATCAATCAACATATGTAATAAACTTGTCAAAAATTTTCACTATAAAGACTAAATTGTCGCAAAGTTTAAACTATAGGGATTAAATAATTATATAATGAAGTTTATAAACTAAATTGTTACCGATTTAAAAATATAGTACCTAAATTGTTAAAAGCTTAGAGATTAAATCCTTAATTTAGCAAAAATACATAGAGCAAATATATTTTTTAACCTTTAAATGAACAAGTTTAATGCTCAAGCCTACTTACAAGTTACACCCAACAATATTTCACCATATGCGCCGCTTCATAATTCATTACATGTCAAGAAAGAAAAAAAACATACTTAACTACGTTGTAGTTGTGCCAGTCATGTTCAAATTGGAAGGTTGTGCCAGTCATGTTGTATATGACTAACATTGTTGTTCATTTCAAACTCACACCAATGAAAATATTGTTTTTATATTATTATTGTTATTTTTTATTTTTTATTTTTAGAAAAATATTGTTCTTATTACTTTAGGTCTTATAATTGATATGTAAGTATAAAGTCATATCTTCAACACTAGTTAGTAAAAAAAAACACAAAAATTTTCAATTTATAAACTTCTCAACTATAGTCATTAGAGTAAACTTTACAGTAAAGAGAAGTTGTAATTTCAAGTTCTCATGGGATATATTTATTGTAATATATATTAAGGTTTTCAATTACTAGATCAGGGAGACATTAACTCTTACAATACATTTCAAAATTCGGAAGAGGAAAAAAACATATTTTTATGTGATGTGTTTTTAAAATGTTAATTAAATGATGACATGTTATATGTATAAGTAAAATTTGATTTCCTAACAAAATTTAGTACTTTCTAAAATACTTCCTAATCTAATGACTCAAATTTGTTAAGCACAAACTTGATGGTTCACTTTAAAAATAAAATAAGTTTTATATGTTAGTAAACTAAAAAATTAATTGTACAAATAAAAAATCACAAAACAAAGATTTAAGCATGCATTTCAAATTTGCAAAAACAACAAAAAAAAATGACAAAACTTGCTCTTTTATTTCTTTAGTTAAAAGAATTAATTGGTTGTAATTCATTTGTTTTGAAATTTAGTTTTTTTTTTCTTTTTTGGAATTTGATTGAGAATTCAGACGTATTATTAAAAATATAAAAATATATATTTTGAAAGAAACAAAAAGTCTTAAAAATTTGAGGAAACAAACTTAGTTTTTTAAAAACAAAAATCTTAAGATAAAACAATGGCCACTTCCCAAGTAGAACATGGCTGACGTCCCCTTCCATAGCAGCCATATTTTATTATAGTAAATTAAAAAACCCTAAAATAAACAAAGAAAGAAAAAAAAATTATAAAAGAGCTTCCTTGGCTTAAAATAGATTTAAATAGGAAAATCACACATTTTTACCCCGCTATGTAACAAAGAAATAAGCATATTCCTGCATTAATTTGTTAATGGAAAAAAGAAAGTTTAGATTAATTAATTAAGATTCTTTTTAATTTGATTCAGCGCTGATGCAAGTTTTAAAGTTGAAAGGATAATAATGAAGGAAACGGACAAATAGATGAGGCGGGACCCACGCTGCTGCCTTTACTTCCTCTTCCCTTGGACCTATATAAACCCAATCTCATCTCTCTCCCTCTCATCATTCAAAGCGCCGTGCCCTAATTTTACGCTAAAATTTCCCCTTCCCAATTTCCACCCCCCAAGCTCTCTCTTCTCCATCAATGGCGCTGCGGAGAACGCTTTCCAAGCGCTTCCTTGATGGATACAGAGTCACTCCTTCTTCTGTCAATTTCAGCTTCCGTCGCGACTACTTTTCTCCGCCGGATTCGGCCGGGAGGAGCATTTTCAGGAGGTTTCTTCAGAGGAGAGCGATATATCATTCGCCGTCCGCCGCGAGGATCCCGGAGTTGATGACTCTGCCGGTCGGCGATAAGCTTAGGGAGAAACTCGGAGGTTGCAGCATTACTGGAGATCGAATCCGCCTCGACGGCCTCATTCCTCCGGCGTCGTTGGAAGATCAACGCTCTGGTTATGGATGTGGAATCTCGATCGACGACGCGAGGAAGATTATAAGGCTGTCGCAGGTAGAGAAATTAAAGTCAAGGCTGAGAGATATTCCGACGAGTTCCATCTCATACTCTGAATTCACTCGGATCTGCGTTGAAGGCTGTGGGAACGAGGAACAGGGTACTGAATTCGCCAAGTTGTTGGATGAATCTGGACACGTCATCGTCCTCGGGAATATAGTGTTCCTCCGGCCGGATCAGGTATAACTAAAATTCCGATTAGATCTTGTGAGGTGAAAATTTTACAGAGTACAGAGAAACGCCCAATTCATTCCCCTGGAAATCTGATTTAATCGGACGATGACGACGAACAGTATTGGACGAATATGCAAAGTAAAATTCATAACTCATGGGGAAAAATGAATTTTAGGTGGGAGCAATTTGGGACAAAATCGTGACCAACAAATCCAAACAGTAATTCTGAAAATATTTATGTGGATGAAAATTTATTAAATTTATAACTTCACTTTTCCAAGTGTTTAAAAATATGTTTGGTTAAGATTTTGATTTTTTTATTTTTTCCAAAACACAAAAAGTTATAAAGATGTTACTGAGGTTGCCTGACAGGATGACATCAGTCTATTCTTAGTTTTGAACATTTAGCCAAAAAAATTTGTTATGGAACTAGTTATGAGAAAATTGTTTTGAATGCAAAAAATACACTCCCTTTTTTGTTTTATTTTTCTGTTTGTAAAAATAAAGTTGTAAACTAATAACTTTTTTATGTTTTTCGAAGATCATTTTTTAAAATTATACGGAACATTTTTAATCTATGCGAGCATATTTTATGTTCAGCTTTTAAATTGGACTATAAAATTTTTTACACTTTATTTAAGAAGCTAGTTTTTAGAAACAGTGCAATATGCTCAAGAAAAATAATAGACATCAAACGAACCTAAAACTTTGAAGATCATAACTAGAGAGGAATATTCCTTTAAAAAATTAAAAGGGATATTGCTCAAGAAAAATAAAAAATAAAAAAGAAAGAGGAAAAATTTTGATATCTAAACATATATTTGGTATTTAAATCAATATTATATTTTATGTAAAAGAAAATCAAAATCATATCAAATAAATACAAAACAATTTTCTCATTGATTCCAAAACACCACCCTCTGCCCAATAGGACAGAAAAATAGGGTGGGAAAATGAAAAAGTTGTGGCTGTTAAAATTTGATGCGTTGTTTCAAAGCTGCAACTGATTTTCCTTTCCTTTTCTAATTGAGCCAAACTTTAAATGGGAATATTTGTAAATGGCTTTCTACAATTTATTACTATTATTTTCCTTATTAATAAACGATGTTTAATTAACAATTAAATATTTACAGGTGGCGAAATCAATGGAAAGCATGATATCAGAATCAATAGCGACACCGAACGACCCAAGATTCAAACAACTAGCGGAAATGGAGAAGCAAAAGGCAATTATTGACAAAAAGGCCAAGGCCCAAGTCCAGGGCGAGCTTTTGTGCGGATTGGGCCTACTGACGGCCCAAACATTGGGCTTCATGCGGCTCACTTTCTGGGAGCTGAGCTGGGACGTGATGGAGCCCATTTGCTTCTTCGTGACCTCCCTCCACTTCGCCCTCGGCTACGGCTTCTTCCTGACCACCTCCACAGAGCCCAGCTTCGAAGGCTTCTTCCGACGTCGTTTCAGAGCCAAGCAGAAGAAACTCATGGCCTC